ATAGTTAAGACTGTTGTACTATTGATTTATATTAATTCATTGAAAAGAAAGATTTGTGCTTATATTATTTGATCAAGTTTTTATGCCTACATCTTATAATCTGAGCACCTATTTTGAAGATAATAATACGCAACGTTAACCATTGTTACTCTCCTGTTGTTTTGAAATTTTGTATCATTGTTTTTATTGTTTTTTTCTTTTTAAAATAGAAAGAAAGGAAGGAAGGAAGGAAGGAAGGAAGGAAGGAAGGAAGGAAGGAAGGAAGGAAGGAAAGAAGAAGGAAGGAAGGAAGGAAGGAAGGAAGGAAGGAAGGAAGGAAGAAGGAAGGAAGTAAGTTAGTTTACTTACATAAGGGTTAGTGGGCCAAACCAGAGTATTCCCTCCTGCAGTTATTTCTGAGTATCTAAGTAATATTTGTCATTATATTCTTCTACCACCTAGATGATCTTCCGCTCACTGTTGACCATCCTATCTGCTGGCTTATGTTTTTGCCCTGTGGAGTCACTCAGGCCTTCCTCTTCAAGGAGCTGAATCTATGGTCACCATTCCCTCACCAGACTGTCATTGCTGCACCCTCTTGCTGATGGCTGTGATCCATTGTCAGAGCATCAACACATGCCCTGACAAACCCCCGAGTAACAGATACTACTCCCTGTTCACCTGATGTAACAGCCACTCCACCTCATGATGATTAGGGTTACTCACCTTTGCCAATGCAGCCAAACATGACCCAAGGACAACTGTAATTTTAGTTTCCATAGGATCCCAAATTGTCCCCTTGTAGAGGTGCGAATATTCCACTTACCATGGAAACAAGGACTTCCACTTTTCAGAGTCTGTAGGGTTATTGGGATAGCAAGACAAGCTTCTCAAGCCGATCATCAGGAGCTTGTGTGAGAACACTCCTCCTACTTGCGTGCCTTGGTTCCCAGACACATGTGGTTTATCTATTGGGACCAAAAATTTGATCTTGGCTCAAAGTAATTATCAAATTTTGAAGGTTGGTTCCCTAGCACCGCTGGATATTAACCCCAATGCTCTATGCATCTGGTAGCTTCTGCATGATACACATATGCTAGGATGAATGAATCCCATCCCATATGACCCCAGAGCAGCAGCCCCATTCAGATCACATCCTGAAACTCCTGCAGAGCCTTCTCATGGCCTGAACTTTTACAATTGAGTCAGAAGTTGGGACACTGTGCACTGTGAGAGCCAAGACTTCTTTTTTAATTTTCTACTGAAGATGAATGCTTACCCCCAAACTGCAGAAACTATAATGAGCTACTTAATGAATTTTTATAAACACAGCTACACACAGCTTTCTCATGATGATTCATTCTATTACAATCACTTGTTAGTTTCATAAGCAAATAATGGTTGCTCTGCATTACATCTTTGATTTCAAATTTCTTTAAGCTAATTCATGTCCCAGAAATTCAGCATATATTAGAGTATAATGTTAATATGATCCAGCCAAAAATTTGTTTTGCCTTCTGATTCAAAATATGCGAATTCTGTTGGACTTAAAAATTTCAGCCCCTTCTCTGTATTACAATGGACTTCAATATGTACATATGTGATACCTACATATACATTATAAATATAATATATATAAAATTTCCCTTTCTGTCATTTTTGAGCCTAATCTCACATTCACAGCTCCACAGCTCAGAGGATGAGGGAACATATGCTTCTCCATATGCCCAACACAGATTCCTCAATGCATTTATTACCCAGCGCTCAGTGATTGAGGAATGTTTGTACTATTTTATTTTTCCTCATAGTGAGTCATTCTACTGTACATTTCAAAATTGTGATAAGTTGAAAGATCCAAGAATTGAGGTACATTTCAACAAATAGTTTCCCATCTGCTAAATGAGAGATTTTATTTATAACCAGGTATCCAGATAAAGTGGAATGGAGTGACATTCAAATGATTATGTTTTATTATATAACTAAAGGGCTGGGTAAACCACTAGCCAGCTCCAGTACATTCCCCACTTTGCATACAGCTCAGAGAGCTCCTCTCTTACACTCTGTGACAGGTGCAAAATCCTCACCCCTGAACCCCAGTGCCCTCCAGAGCCTGAGTTATGACTTCTGACTTTCTCTCCCAGATCTCTCCCTGTACATTCCAGTCAAACCATCCTTCAGTTGTTCCCTTACATCAGCACTCAATTTGAACATAATATGCAGATAGGAAATATTCTAACAGCAAGTCAGTTTTAATAGGCCGGATACCAACTGACTGATTTTCATCTGCTACACACCATGAGGTCTTTGAGAAGTCAGCACTTGGGGTTTAGGATGGAAGCAAGGATGGTCTTTTAACTTTTTGGTACTATATTTGAAACTCCTGCAAAAGCTCCCACGATCTGGGGGAGTAATTACCCTGGGATGCTCAGAAATAGTGGGTTGATTCCGCCAACCCAAACCTTAAGTGCGTCTCCTCTTCTCTCTTCACCCCCCACCTGGGCAGTAGTTTCCCTACCTGACACTGCTCATCAAGTACTCAAGCAGTTATCCTGATTCTTTGTTCTCAGATCTTCACATGAGAAGTTAGAATTGGTCCAAGGTTCAAGCACAGGATGAGGGATTTTGTGCATCATAAGGTTTTGCAATATTTTTAACGCTAAGCCAAGTGGAAAACATTTCTTCATTTTTTTCCCTTTTATGGAAAAAAGCTACAACAGAATTTCATAACACAATAATAGGATAATAACAAGCATTAATCATTGCATATTTCATCTTCAGAGTAGTTACTCAGGGTACTAGATATTGGAAAAAATTCTCCAATTGATATTAACAATAAGCTTCCTTTTCAAAGACTAAGAGACACTAATTATAGCTAATGTTCATTTTTCTCCCTTTCCCCTTCCCTTCTTTCCCTTTACCTCCTTCTTCATTTTATATGTTTGAATCCTCTCATATAATAAAACTTAACCTTTCAGCATTGCTTCTTTTTAAAAGAGTAAGTCTACCCATTTATGACTAAGCAAGTCAGTCAGCTAATAGTCATGCTTTAAATGTGTTTAATTCAGTGGTAGAAGCTTTAGGAGAGGTCCTCAAATCGGGTGGAGAGATAAAGCTTTGATGAAGTTGTAAAAAGCTGAAATGTTTGTGCTTACCACAAGTGCTGTAATTCAGAATAAAGGCCACTATCTCTCAGGGAAAGTGGAAATTTCGCTTCCAGCCCAAGATTGGATAGGATTAATGTAAAAGTTCACAGGCTTCACTGGGTAAATGGTGTGCTAGTTAGACCAGTCTGCTGTAACAAATGTATCATAAGCTAATGGTTTGAAGAAGAGGTAATATTTGTGGGTGAGGGGATACTGGGAGTTGAACTCAGGACCTTGCACTTGCCAAGCAGGCACTGTGTCGCTGAGTTATGTCTCAAGTCCCTAACTGGTTCGAAAAAGAGACATTTCTTTCTTACAATTCTGAAAGCCTGACAGTCTAACATGTGGGCTATCAACATAGTCTAGGTCTGGTGAGGGCCTTCTTGCAAGTTGCCAATAGGCAACTTTTTTATCTTTGTGGTAGAAAAAGGGTAAGCTAGCTCTCTGGCCTGTTCCAGTAAGGGCACTAATCCCCTTGGCAGGGTTCCACCCTCATCGCACAGTTACCTCCCAACCACCTCCAAACACCATCAGGTTGAGATTATTTTTTAACATGAATTTGGTGTCTGTTGTAGATAGCAGCCAAGGCTGAGCTTGGTACAAAGGCACAGAAACAAAAAAGTGCTAACTAGTTCTGTTTATGGTATGTGTTTTCTAGAAAGCACCACCCACACCAGTGGGTCCTAAAGTTTAGCATGCAGAGGGCCTGTTAAAACACATTTCTGGATCCTATTTCCATGATTCAATGGGATGAGGCATGAGAGTATGCATTTCTAGCAAGTTCTCAGGGGATACTGATGCTCCTGGTCTGGGTTAATCTCTGAAAACCAGAGGTTTAGACCATGTTGGCAACTGGAAGACTCATTACTTAGCTGTATTCCCCGAAGACAGTGCTGCAAATGGACTCAGTCAGTGACAGCCTTTGCTCTGATCTCAACACGCAGTTTCCCATTCACACGTCTCAGTCACATCTTCCCATTCCAGAGCCACTCTAGTCCCACGATCCTTGTCGCTGTGATCACCACTGAGTTAGTGGCTGACCATTGCCTGCTCTGTTGTTGTTGCAAATTAATTTCTCATCTTGTGATCTTTCAACAATGTAAACATTGAGATGTTAAAAAGAAAAAGTAAATAATTTTATCAGTTTGTAATTCCTACTTTACTTTCTCGTTTCCTGCCAATACATTGGTAAGTGACAGTGGTAATATGGGAGTATTTGATTTCTGTTTTCTGTTCAGCGCTGATGATAATTTTATAAGAAGCTTATTTATCTTGAAATTGTTTTTTCTTGATAAGGTAATTGCCCAGATAGGCATCAGTATGACTATTAGTAGAAGTTCTGATGACTGCATGTCCAATTAAGGCATTACCTATTAAATACTTAGATTACAATTGACTCTTGGCAGAAATTTTGAATTCCTTTAGTTTGACCATTCATCACTGTACATGGGAAATTATGAAGTATTCAAAGCCCACTGAAACTTTTTTCCATGAACAGCAAAGAGAGTCAATAGCATATAGTAGGCACTCATGCTTTTGATAAATGAACAAATAAACGTATTTGAAATAAATTCATAAATGATTTTTCTTTTCTTCATGAAACTGAAATAGACATAGTTCTGTGAAATATAGGCATGGTTATTTTGTATCAGTTTTAAATTTGGCAGGCTACCAAATGCTAATTTGCTTTTAGCTAGTAGAGATTAAATGTAATTCCTTCCCTGAGCAACCCTAAAGTAAGTAAGCATGAAAGCATTTTCAGAGTAATCTGGGAGGAACTGACATTTAACAGAGTTAGCATTACATCTGTACTTTAAGGCTATTAATTTCATAGATAAATTAACTTCATTACTCCATCTTTATCTTGCATTTTGAAAGGGCTCCATCCGCTGGAGGACTGAAAGCCGAGGGTCAGTTGAAACTGCTCTTATCCCAGCCAGGCTGTAACTGGAATCTCCTTCTGGAAACCCTACTGTGTAATGACGGACTTATACCAAGGATCTTGTTGAAGAGCTCAAGTGAGTATTTGTAATTAGAAGGATGTCCTCAGGAAACCTAGTCATTGCTCCAGTCCAGTGAAGCTTGTTTCCTACTCAAATGTTGGCAGAAGGATGTAAACCAACTGCATGTATCAACAATCCATGCGATTAGCAGCAGGCAAGTTATTGCATTGCTTTACCAATCTATCTGAAATAATTTTTTTTAGAGACGTCAAGTAAGGGGAAACTGTACTTTTGTATAACACTGTTGTGTCACATCCACCATTATACTGAAATGTATCAATATTCAAGGTTTTCAATTCCTAAGAAAATTAGAAAAATGGCAGTCGCATGTCTAAAACACAAGCCTGAATTAGAGAGTAAAATGATAGAAAAAGACTGGATTGCAGCAACACTAGAAATAGTGGTGTGCATCTTAAAGTGAGCTTGTGCAACTTTTAAATGAGCAAATTATGATTCTTTCTGGGCACAGAGAAGTTATGAATGAAAACAGGAATAATAGAAGACATAATTATTAGGCTTTCTTTCCCTGTAAGTGCCATTTCCAAACAGAGTAACGAATGTTATGCCAGTACATTATACTCACCGCTGTCCTCCTTCACCCAGCAAGAATCACCTAACCATTTTGCCACTACCATGTGCACATCTCCTGTTCTGTGACACACCTGAATCCATATTTGTTTTGTCAATCAGTAGCTTCACTTTGGTTTTCCTGTATCAAAATCATTTCCTCTAGGTCCTCATCACTTGGTGGACCAAATTCATGTTCTTTAGCCATCCAGTATGATCCCACAGTAGATTACTAACTTGGGCCCTTGGCATATCCCTCCCTCACACCCTCTCTCCCCTTTTCCAGTCCTTGTCACCTGTCCCCCATGCAAGGCTCCCCCAACATCTCAGTCTTTGCTACTGAAAAGACAGTCCTCGGACAGCTTGGCCTCCACCTGTCTGCAGAGGCAATCTGTGTTCCAGATCACCAGGGCTGTTTCATGCGATTTCTTCCTGCCCTGAACTTCCCAGGGCCCTGTACTTCATTGCACTTAGCAAGGTCTACCATTTGTTGTTGTTTTTTTCTCTTTGTCATATCTGCATATAAACAAGACGTATGTCCTTAAGTCCTTCCAGCCTGTTGATACTCAAAACGAAGCTCACAGCATTCCCTTGTCCCAGGTGCTCCAGTCATTGCTGATAACCCATGGTTTCTCATTCCTCCTGAGGACCAATTTCCCATATTCTTCTTTCTTATACACTTTCTGTTTGTTTTTCTGAGCCACTTAGGCACGGAGTCTCTTGTCAATATTATGTCTTCCCTGGTGCTCTAAAAACCGTGAACCCATGTGGTGTCAGAGGTCACCCAAGCTCCCCAACCCTCCTTGTACTATTTGGACCTCAAATTGCATACAGTTCACCTGAACTCAGTATCTCTGGCTTCGGGTTGTAACTATATCCTCTTACCTAGAAACTGGAGCTAAGCAAACTATTTCCTCATTTGGGGTACTTATCAGGTAGCAGGCACTTTACATTTATGATCTAATTAGCTTCTTCATATATTTTATAAGTTTCATGAATGTTTTTTCTTCATGTTAAAAATAAAGACATGGAGGCAAGAGGTTTAGCTCAGTGGCACAAGCACCTACCTGGAAAGCACAAGGTCATGAGTTTGATCCCTGGTACCAAAAAAATAATAGAAAAATAAAGACACTGGAGTTTAAGATAAATACAGTTGGCCTTCTGTATCTGCAGATTGCACATCCATGAATTCAATGAACCACAAATGGAATATTTGAGGGAAAGTTTTTCATGTACAGACTTTCTCTCTTGCCATTATTCTTTAAGCAATAAGTACAGTAACTGCATAGCATTTACATTGTTATTGGTGTTGTAATCTAGAGATGATTTAATGCATATAGAAATATGTGAACAGGCTATATGCAAACTCTACACCATTTTATATAAGGACATAAGCAGCTATAGATTTTACTCTCTGAACTTTCAGGGAAGATGACTGCATAACATGGATAGTATCTGACATGACTGAGGGACTTATTCTGATATAAGCATTAAAACTCACGGTGTAGTCCCATAAGAGAAATCGTTTACTATTGATAGAGTTATGTACAACAGAATGGAAAGTCAATCAAGATCTACTCTTTTGACTAGACTGATAAAACCACTAAGTACAAGAAGAACAATTATTGTCATAAATATTGAACTATGTTTTGTTACAAATGAATCCTTATCAGAAGTATGATGTACACCTTCTGGTATGCATAATATGACGCTGCTTTGAAGGAATTTACAGTCATCAAGGGTGCCATAGGGTAAGGCTTCAATCTGGTTCCTTAGGAATACAGCAGTGAATTTAGCTAACCTGCTAACCATCATTTGTTACAAAGGCTATTTGGTTCTGTGGTTGCTCTGGTCTTTTTCTGTATTGAATTTTACTAGTTATTTCAACTACCATGATGATGAAGTGACAGAATTTGCTAATCAATTGATTAGCAAATGATTAAGTTCCAGTAGAATTCTTGTCACTTTAAGTTAAAAACAATATACTCAGTGAATCTTATCAAGTATACCTAAATGGAAATCACTGTGTACAAAAAAATAAATTTGTAATACTTTTGCAGAAATTTTATTTTCATTTCATTAAAAAGTCTCACAGTACTTTTAGAATACCACTTAGTAATTTAAAAGTTTAATCATATATTTAGGAGAGCAAAATTAGAATGAAACATTCCAAATTAGAAATCTTAAACAACATAATAATAAGCTTTTTATGAAGGAATTTTTCTTTATAAAGAATGCATTTTTAAGCAATTGATAGAATTTAATTTTGTGTTATTGTCTGAGGAATAAGAGTACAGAGATAATAAATATGTATCTTCTCATAGATTTTTAAACAGAGTTCAATGAGCAATTATTTAATTGTTTAGCATACGTTTTTCTTAATAAGTGGCTATATAATAAAAGTTGAAAACTATCTCATAAGTAAAGTGATATCTCTAGCCTTTGGTTTTGCTCTGTGAAAATGATTTATGAAATTGTTTTTATCTCTTTTAAAAGAATAAATAGAATACATAAGGGAAAGGTCATCTTTCCTGAGCATCAGAAAAATAGCAAACTTAAATTACAAATGGCAAAATTTTAATTTATATTATATTCATCATAGGATGCAAGTTTCTATGATATTGGTTCATGCTTTTCCAGGGTACCAATTCCTGTTTTGTAAAAATATGTAGCATTTTGAGAGCATGATTAAATTGCTAAACTTGATAAAAATTAAACTGATTGTAATGGTTTCAGTGGCAGGTGGCTTTAACATTTTTCAGGTTCAGTTCAGTTGACATGTGAAGATAAAGTTTGTTGGTTTTAACTCAAGCAGTCTTGACTCCAAAGGGAAAACAACTCATAACTGCAAAGATTTATAGATGACTTTTAAATTGTAAGAGGTGGTTTTCAGTACTGATTTTAAGGATTCAGGAGAATCATTTTATTAATTACCTTGCTGAGTTCCCTAGCCACACAGGTTTCTTACACATGGCGTCAAAGGAATAGATATTTGGCGATTTCCCGATTGCCTGCAGGTGACCTTTCCTGCTTGTGATATTTGAATGAAGTGTGACTAACTTGCTTTGCCTATTGCCTGACAATAACTCCCAGTGAAACACCTTAGCTTCTAGTGATATTCAGCTATAATATAACAACAGCAAACCAGCAGATACATAATAATTAACATGTTCCAGGCATTGTTTTTAAATGGTTTCAATGTGTTCACTCACACTAAATCCCTGCACAGTTTTGTGTGATCAGTACAGCTATCATCTTCACTGGACAGATGAGGGAACTGAGACATAGTGAAATCCAAGTCACACACCTAGTTAGTGGCAAGGCAACACTAGGTCCAGGCAGTGGCTTCCACGTCTTTCCACCCTTGCCTCACATGGCCACCACACACACATAGAATGGTCACCAAGGGTCAGTACTGCACAATGCAGGGAGCGATACAGAACCTCAGCAGTGGATACTTCGGGAGGAGCATTTTGTGTGATTGAACCTTGTTAAAGTACTTAATGATAAACAAGAAATAGATGGAGAGAAAATTCTAACTAAAGGCCTGCTATCACTACCAAGTGACAGTTGACTTAAGATGAATGAGTCAGTTTCCTGATGAATGGATCACATTTTCCCAATCTTTTAGGTAACATGAGGCATTTTATGGTAGAATAGTGTTTTCTTGTAGCATGTATGTTTCAAAGTATCACTTCATGACTGCTTTAAAAGAGGTGACCTACAGTAGAATTATGCTTCTTTTTGGTACTCTTAGCTCATCTAACACTGGTACCATGCCCTGCTTTTGTAGTAACATCTGTATTATAGGACTCTGACTTGTTTGATCTTGTTTATTCACTGGACAGTAGAGCCATGTTTGTATATTTTGGCCCTAGTTGTTTTCAACTAAGAATCCTGTCCAAGAATGATGTTGTAGTATCCTATAGGCATCCGTGGGCTCCATAAAAGATTACAGTCTCAGCCACAGCCATCATTAAGGGTCCTTGAAGTCTCTATGGGGGTGGCACGCTATGGGGGTGGTAGTGGTGGCACACTGGGGTGAACAAGTGGTGGAGTATGACCATGTCCAATAAGGCTTCTTGTAAATTGCAGATACATGTACCCCAGGTGTCTGGCTGAAGCTGCAGATTCTAGTTCAGAATGGGCTGAGGCTTGAGATCCTGTATTACCTGTTTGCTGCTGTGGATCTTTGGACAGTTTCCTTGAGTAGCAAGGATACTGAACAAAGTGGCTAAAGTAGGCAAGAGAACTTGAGTATATAACAGTTTGTCCTTGTTTTATAGGCTTAAAAGGAGATATGATCTAAGAATATCGGTAACGTGTGTCATCAGGAAGCCCACAGCAATCAGCAAGAATAATCTTATTCAAATACAGATCTGATTATGTCACTTCCCACTAAAAACCTCAGTGGAAGCTCACTGCCTGTAGATAAGGACCCTAATCCT